TACGTTGTTTGGTCGTGCTTTATATGTATGCTTCTACTGCAGAAACTTTGGGTCAGTTTTATAGCATGTAATGCATTAATTTCACTTAGAATTTAAGAGAAGTATGTATTCAAGGGCAAACTATGATATTCTGATTCTCTATCTTAAGAATACTGGCGTTTTAGAATTTCTAATCCTCTGTCTCGCATGTGAGGACCGACATAAGTCTCTTAGAACCTTGCTGTAATATAATCATATAATCTCAAATTTATTATTTTGTTTTTTAAAAAAAATTTAACCAACACAAAAAATCTAAATGGGCGAGTTTGGTATGCCTCATTCCCCATGTTTAGAAACTAGAATGAGGAGAAATGCACCAAATGTTAAGGAATGAAATATCTTTTATTTACGTTCCTATGTTTGGTTTGTGATGTCTGATGTTGGAAAACAGGCTGTACGTGCCTCAGGATAACAAAGCAGTGAAGAAGGAAATCCTGGATGAAGTGCATATTTCAGCATATGCCATGCATCCAGGAAGCACCGAACTATATCGCACTATCCATCCGTTCTACTAGTGGGTTGGAATGAAACGAGATGTGGCGGATTATGTGAGTAGATGTATCATTTGTCAACAGGTGAAGGCTGAGAGAACGACATGGGGGACTAATGCAGAATCTTCCGATACCCGTATGGAAATGGGAAGACATCACCATGGAAATGGGTACTCAGTTACTGTTCAACACTGCCTACCATCCACAGACCGATGGTCAGTATGAGCGGACAATTCAGACATTGGAGGACATGTTGAGAATGTTTGTTCTCCAATGGAAAGGTAGTTGGGATAGCTATCTGCCGTTGGTTGAGTTTGCATACAATAACAGTTGTCATTTGAGTATCGACATGGCACCTTATGAGGCTTTGTATGGGAAAGTGTGTCGGATGCCGTTGTGTTGGACAAAGGTCGACAAACGGGTGTTAGTGGGACCAGAGATTGTGGACACCAGAAATGCTAACATCCAGCTGATTAAGAGAAATCTAAAGGCAGCACAAGACCGACAGAAAAGCATTGCGAACAAACATTCCAAGGACCGTGAGTATAAGGTAGGTGACTTTGTGTTCTTGAATTTGTCTCCCTGGAAAGGTGTTGTTCGTTTTGGTAAGTAAGGGAAGTTGAGTCCTCGATACGTCGGTCCTTACTAGACTACTGAGAGAATTGGTGCGGTTGCCTATAGGTTGGAGCTACCACCGGAGTTGTCTTTTATTCACAACGTTTTTCATGTTTCCATGCTTTGGAAATACGTACCAGATCCCTTTCATATCATTCAATTAGAGCCGCTAGAAGTAAATCAGGATGTTAGCTATGTCGAAGAACCAGTGGCTATCCTTGACTGGCAAGTAAAGTATTGAGGAACAAAGTTATTTCATTGGTGAAAGTGCTTTGGAAGAACCACGCTGTCAAGGAAACGACGTGGGAAACAAAGGATTTGATGAGGAGTCAGTATCTGTTTTTATTTGGTTAAGGTTGTAAATTTCAGGGACGAAATTTTTATAAGGGGGTAGATTGTTACATCCCACCCCCAATTATATGAATAATTTTGTTTTTTTCCCCAAAACTTAATGGAATTAACTATTAAAACCCTTAGCTTTTCACCCAATCAGGATCTAACAGTGGGATTTTTCTTCACCGTCAAACTACCACGTGCAGCACCCCAACACTCCCCACTTCTCTCTCTCTCCCCCCACCCGGTGACCTTCTTTCCTCTCTTTCACTTTCAACTCTTTTTCTCTACGCTTTCTCCCTCTCTCGAAACCCTCTCGTCCCTCTCCCTTTCCTTCACTTGTGAGAACCCAAGTATACCCACACTCTCACCATCGTTCCAGCATCGTCATCATCATCATCATCATCTTCACCCCGTCGTCTCTCTCTCTCTCTCTCTCTCTCTTTCTCTCTCTTCCGTCGCTGAAAGGAATGGCGAAACCAAGAAAATACTCTCCGGCGAGATTTTCTTTTTTTTTTTTCAATTAGGTAAGCCTCGAGTTTCCCTCTATCTGTTTTAGTTTGATGCTTGGATGTGATTATTGAGTGTTATCTCATTGTGGTCAAGGTTTTAAGGCGAGATCGGCTCGGGGAAAAGCAAAACCCATCTACGGCAAGCCCATGAGTGTCGAGGAGTTTTCCGACCACCACCGACTGTTTCCCGGTGAACCAAAGGTATAATCTCACTCCTCTCACCTTCTTCTTCACGTTGGTATCTAGATCGGAGCCTAAGGTTCACATTTGCAGTTGGGCGGAGCTGGGAAAACTCTGACGTTCATCTCCGTCAATCCAGGCCTTTCAGGCCGTTTCCAAGACCTTCAGGCCTTAGGCCCGTTTTGATTCAGCCCAAAAATCCTTTCTTTTTGTTTTATTTTATTTTCCTTTTAGTTTTGAAGGGCCTTTGGGCCATATCTGCTAAGGGCTTGAGCCCAATTCCTTAAACCTATTTTTCCCTTAAGCACAGCCTACCTAATTACCTAAAGCCTTAAACTTAAACCCAAACCCTAGGGCCCAAACTCGATCCAACCTTAAGCCCAGACTTGTTTGACCCGGTCCAACCTGGACCCTTGACCCGTTGACTTTGACCCGATCAACGTTGACCGTTGACTGTTGACTTTGACTTTCGGGTTGACTTTTCGAATTTTTGTCCGGGACCTCTCCTAGGCTAATTTCGACATTCTGGACCCGTTTTTGAAGTCCATGTTTCCAAATTCAATCATTTGAGTAGAATTTGACTAAATGTACCATTTATGTACATAGGTGCAATTAATAGCGGCGATTCCATTGTTCCTTTTTGGTACGGTTTTGAACCAACGGTGTATGGTGAGTGGACACCTTCTAGAAATGAATGTTTGATAGTAGAAAAGCATACACAAAAAGCATGATTTGACGACTATGTTTTATGAAACATTTTATAAGATAACATGCTTACTGAGACTAGTTTGAATTATTACTATTTTTTCTATAACCCGTGTTCTTATAGAATATCTGATAGATGACATTATGATATTTAGAACATGTTTAGAACATCTCTTTATAGTATAGATGATGGATGACTTTATACTATGAAGTTGCTTTTCAATATATGTATGTTCAATGATTTTGTACTTACCTAGTGGTCATTATTCCGCTACAGGACGTAGGGATAGATTCCAGTCCATCCCGGGTGACGGTTTAGTATTGGCATAGGGCCTGGAGTGTGTCTTCTCTGGTTATTAAAACAGGGACGGGGAGCCGGCATGGGGCCTGAAGTGTATTTTCCTGACTGTCTGCTCAGATATGGGAAGTCGGGGAGCCGACGAGTCGGCATGGGGGTTATCGGACATTCACTAGTGATTATTATATATACAAGTTATGATTTGAGACATTGCACAGCATGCTAGGTTTCAAAAAACCTATGTTTATCATAATATATGTGTTTTCATAAAACTTGGGGGTTAGTATGTTGATAACTATTTTATTTACTATATATATATATATATATATATATATATCAACTTGGTCCACTCATATTTGTTTTGCGCCCCCTTCAGGATTTAGAATTGAGGCATACAATCCTGACGTCCAGGCACTTCCGCATTGAAATCTTTGAGTCCTCTCGATGTAGGATCCATCCTTTGTTTCATTCAATTTTATATTATTTCTTTTAGTGTTCTAGTTAGTTGTATACTCTGAACACGTCCTTAAATGCATATTCATTATTCTTTTATATTTATAAGCCTTATCTACCCCTTGTTTTCAGCATTTGCACTCAATAAATGGATTTCGTCACCCTTGGGTGTCCACCAGCATGTGCTTATCCTAGTATTCGGGAATATTCGGGATCGAGGCGTGTCAGTGATGCATACCTCTTTGAGGCTAAATGCGTAATAAAAACTTTTCAATCTAATTCCAAAGTAAGTATTAATGTCTTAGTAAGTTTAACTGTCCTTGACTTGAGCAATTGTTTCTACACCCAACTTACACTCTACACCTATATTATTTTTAATGAAATAATTAATATCTCTTTAAACCCAATTTTATACCTAAATTACCCTCACAAACCCAATTCAAAATGTGAATTTATCTTTACATCCATTTAAAAAAATAAAATCTCAATTGAATAATTTGGTGAAGTTTCTACTTGTTTAGGAATCTTCCATATACTTTCTTGATATCCATTTCCACGTGATTGTATTTGCATAAGCATAAAGTACATGCTTTCATATGTCTATTCTTAAAACACCATAGAAAATAAACTAATAATAACTTTTCTTTCTATGCAGATATTGTGATATGCGGCAGTTAGGCGGGAATGCTAGGGGTATCGACGAAGCTGCCACAGGTATAGAGAATGGTGATGGCCAATTTGTGTGGCCTGTAGTTGTGGAGGATGAACTTGCCAAGCTCAACCATGGAGATGATGTGTTATACTTAGAGGTGACTTATCGTCGGGAACACTCACCTCCTTCTCAAGCTGGGAAACCACTTCTTTTCCGTTGAAATATTCAACCAAGAATAGAGTCTTAAGTCCAAGGTGGAGCTTCGCCACCACCTACACAATCATCTTCTCAACTATATAAAATATAGAAACCAAACGAAGAAAATAAAAAAATAAAAAAACATTTCAACGTAAGGTTTTAGCCATCGTAGGATAAACATTACATGTTGGTAAGGTTTTATTTGAGTGTGGGTTTATTGATAAATTTTATTTTGTTATTAATTTCATCTTGTACTTAATGGTAATCATGCAATAAGGTAAAAATGACAAGTCACATTTAAAGTTTAAGTTGGATGAAAGAGGTTATATGAGTTCAAATAAAATTTCCCAAGCCAAATCGTATCCATCCAAACCGTAAGTGCCACTTATCTAATATGTGTCATTCTATCGGTAGCACTAATTTATTAATGAAAAGGAAAAATTGAACCTACTAGAATGCACCTTCCAATAATATTTGTGACAAACATTAACTATATTCAATTGGGGCAACATACCCCTGTTTGTGACCATAAGTTGTGGATGAAATAGGGTGAGTGAGATCCTCTCTCTCCTCTATCAAAACCGACACTCTCTCTCCCTCTCTCTCGAAAAACCAAACCGCTGAAGCCTGAAACCAACTGATTCTCCAACGGCCACTCTAACCATTTGCAGCATGGAGCTTTTCCTTCTTCCTTGTCACCATCACAACCCAACTCTGCTCCACAGGCCTCTCTTCCCACAACCCATCACAAGTAACTCTCTCTCTCTCTCTCTCTCTAAAAGCTTGTCTTTTGGGGTGCATTGAGACTTCTAATTACCAATTTTATTTGGGTTCTTCACAGGCAACAGCAAGAGATTCCTCAAGAGGAAGTCACATGTGTTGCCATGTCAATGCTCACTGCCTTCCTCAGATGATTCTGCAAAACCAACCAACCAAATTACACCATTTGAGGGCAGGAGGGCTTTGATTGGCACTCTCTTAGCCTCAGGTTTTTTTCTAATCTAACTTCTTCCTTAAGTTTTAATTTCATCTGGTTCAAAGAAAAAAGATAGTGAATTAACATAATTTTGAAGCCAGAATTAAAGTAGAAGTTGGTGGTAATTCCAGTTGGTTTCTTTTTATTTTATTTTGGTCTTTCTATATCTTCATATGATACTTTATAAACTGGTATATTGACTTTTGTTCTTGTTTTTTTAACTGAGTAAGCTGCTGGCATTTATGTGTGTGATGGGGCTGAAGCTGTTAGCACAAGTAGGAGAGCTGTGAGTTCTGAAATTTTACTGTGTTTTCGAAATCTTTTATCTTTTCTTTCGTATATATTTTAGTGATTATTTCTTCTGGTATATTAAATTTGAGGAGAAAGGAAAGAACTCTTTATTTTGATGATATCAAAGTTTGTGACATTCATTTATTTGCTGCAGCTAAGAGGAGCGAAAATACCCGAGAGTGAATTTACAACCCTTCCCAATGGCCTGAAGTTAGTAAACTATCATTACTTCTAACATCTCTGATCACCTTTTAAATTTCGTCTTTCGCCTTTTGTAATCCATATTCGTCGTATATGAGCTAGTGTTGCCTTTCATTGCAGCTTTCATGTTGATGATAGAAATTCTCTCTCGAATTCATAATTTTCTTATCTAGCATAGAGTGAAATTTTCAAGAGTTTTTGAAGCTCTGTCTCTGATTATATAGGATACAATGTACTGCATTTAGCTCATAACCCACTATCCCTATCGATAAAAGTTTCAACAGGTTTATTGACTTCATCTGTGGAAACTTAATGGCTTTTTCAATACACAGAGTAATAAACTGATGGTTTTATTCTTCTCTCCTCAGGTATTATGACTTGAAGGTCGGGGGTGGAGTTGAGGCGGTGACAGGATCCCGGGTTGCAGTATGGTTGTGATCAAGTTAAATTTCAATAATTGAGTATACATAAGTAATTCTGTATCCTAGAATATTCCAAACTAAGCATGAAAAGGTATCCTCATTTTTGCAGGTTCATTATGTTGCGAAGTGGAAGGGTATCACTTTTATGACAAGTAGACAAGGACTTGGTGTTGGTGGAGGAACGGTGAGATTTGAGTGGTGCTGCTATTCACATTTATATGTAGAAATAAGCCGGCACCTTCAAATTTCCTTTTAAAATTAGGATAAAATGAACCAACCAATTTTACGGTTATATGATTTAACTTCTGGAATAACTATCTTGACCATAAACCAAAACTTGGAACATTGTTTTGCACTCTTGTGTATAAAATGTTTCTGCTTAATAAAAATGCACTGGAGTTCGGAACAGTTATATTTATTCAGTTAAAGTGCTGACTGGTGTTAACATCCCATCTTGCATATGATGCACCACCAGTTATCCGATTCTCATTGATACCTGCTCATAAAGTTAGAAGGAATTACTTAAACCTGGTCTTAAACTCTTGACCAAAAATGTCACTGAATACATTACTTCGGATTTTCAATTGTCTCCATGAAGCAATTGTTGGAGATTGTGGAATCTTAGTTTAAAGAAAACTTAATCTGAGCTTTAAGTGAGTGCATATGTTAATTATGATATAGAAAGGAAAAATATGGCATTCAAGACAAAGCAATCTCTCTCAGTATTGTTTGAGTCGCATGTGTGTGTTTCTTATATCATGCACTTGTAACATTCATGCTTGGATGCTGCAGCCATACGGATTTGACGTAGGCCAATCTGAGAGGGGATCAGTCCTTAAAGGATTAGATCTTGGTGTAAAAGGCATGCGGGTAGGAGGCCAGGTGAGATTAGTTTATTGGCATGAAATTTATTTGTTATGTCTTGAAGCAGAATTTAAATTTACACTTTGTGGAAGAAAATTAAAGTTCTTACTTATTTTATGCTGTTTAGTAGTAAGCCTTGAGTAGAATACCGTCATGGAGTTGATTTATGCACAGAAAAATAGTTTTGAGTCTCAAGTGTGTGCTGGAGATATTTTGATCTTTGTGATGAGGAAATAGCAGCTTGAAGTCGGTGGCATTTTCCTTATTCGACTAGATCACTTAAAACAACTGCAATAACAACACCCTCTCGTTCTTTTCCTTTTTGGCGCTCAGCTTGAAAAGTACCCTTTTGGGTTCCTTTTGTTTTAAATTATTTATTTTGCAGCGATTGCTAATAGTTCCTCCCGAGCTAGCGTATGGAAGCAAAGGAGTACAGGAAATTCCTCCAAATGCAACCATAGAGGTAACAAAATTTCATCTCTAAATCTCCAAAAGGACTTCATCCACAAATCTCTCCGCATCTCTCTTCTTCTCTCTTAGGCTTATTCTATGGTAATAAGTACAAATACACATATGCACCACACTCCAGATGTTGTTCACAATCGACTTCCTTTGCCATTCTCTTTCATACAAAGTGTAGGATTCTAAATGTATTTTTTTTCTTGTATTTCTTGGAGCTAATCTATCTCTATCGCTGTTCTCTTTCGTGTTGCGATTATATTCTTTTCATCTTTTTGATACCTTTCTTTCATGAGCCCTTCCCTATATTCGTCTTCACTGTTCTGTATATTCTTTTTATCTGCAGTTGGACGTTGAACTACTCGCCATTAAACAAACCCCATTTGGGTAAGTAATGGATTCCGTGAAGTTTAATTATCCATTTTTTGTGCACATATTAGAAGATACGTAGCAATTGTTTCATCTTGTTGCTCTCTTGTGCAGGTCTCCTGTAAAAATTGTCGAAGGTTAATGAAACTAAGCTCTTCCTACTGATTGTCATGCCTCTTGTGTAATTTAAATGAGGAAACATTATCTTGCTATTCTCTTCATTGTAAACCGTAAAGGTGTCCTTTTGTTCGACACTAAAACAAGGGTAACTGCATAAATGATACAAATATCATTAGCGTTGTAAGTTTCATTCAGAACCTCAAAATATTTCTCGGAAATTCTCTTTTTTGGAAGTACTATCCTTGAATGATCAGATCATCGTTTGCTTATTCATGAATTTTCTTTACATTTGACTCACTTTCTTGTTATGAATCTTGAATCTTTCCTCTTTTATGCAGAACATTAGTTTTTTTCTGCATAATTCTGTATTCTGATCGCTCTAACTTATCTCGTCGATGATACACGTGTACATTTATCCGAGAACAGAACATTGAAAAAATTCTAGCTAGATGTGATTAGCCATTATGTTATGGAATTAATTCTTTTATTTTTCTAATAGATTTTTATTCTCCAATTCAGTGATTTGTTCCTCAACTTAGTGAAGGAAAGCACAAAAGTTGATATATCATTAGTTTTCCCTAATGCCCTTTGTAGTAAGAGCTTTCCTTAAGTAGAGGTCACACTACAAAGGAGGAATCCACTTTATTCTCTTGTTGTTTCCTTTTTTTTAACTTTTGACAAAGCGATATTTTAAACTACTCCATTCACAAGAGTGGAATTCGAGCTTAGTGTAACGAGGCATTCACACTTCCCTAGCCAACCTACTTAACCTCTTGTTGTATCCTTTTATTTACCCCATCTTTGTTTCCCATAAGCTTTTCATTGCTTCTCCTTTGTTCATGCAAATATGGTCACCAAGGCAAACATAATGCCAGGCTTCCTCTGCTGCTGTTTCTTCATCATCCTTTTTGTCGATCTTCGCTGCTCCTCCCAAAATACCTGCCCCGGGTGTGGCAGCATGAAGGTTCCGTACCCCCTAAGCACAAACCCCGACTGCGGTGACCCCAACTACTCTCTCCATTGCGACCCTTCCTCTAAGAAACTCTACTTTGATGCCCTCAATGGAAGTTACTATCTTGTGCTTCAAATCATGGCTCCATATCAGCGTATGGTGGTACAACCATCACCATGGCTGCCCGGCAAATGTGTTACTCGAGACTTGGTGGTGAGTGAGGGCCTCTGGTTGAATCAGTCACTTCCTTTCAACATCACTTCATCAAATACCATCTTCCTCTACAACTGCTCTCCGCGGCTCTTGGTATCTCCTCTCAATTGCACTCCATCTAGCCTCTGTCACCGGTACTTGGAAAGCTCAGGACACATTGACACAAACCGAGCGCTACAGTGCAAAAACAGGCTTAATCTTTGCTGCACATTTGTTGCCGGTGGTATGCCTTCAGCATACAAGATTCGGCTTCACAACTCAGGCTGCAAAGCCTTCAGAAGCATCATTCATTTGGATATAAACAAGCCTCCGAGCCAATGGGGCGAGGGGTTGGAAATTCAATGGGCACCTCCACTTGAACCAATTTGTAGAACACAACTTGATTGCTCTTCAGCTTCCAAATGTTTGCCTACTGGTTCGAGTGGCGTCTCACGCTGCCTTTGCAATAGAGACTACTATTGGGATCATCTTCTTGGCACTTGCTCAAGGAACAAGAGGAACATGAAAGCCGGTCTGAGCCTAAAGGTCTCGATTGGGGTAATCTCATTTTTCGTTGTAGCCGCAGTTGTAGCAATAGTCACGGTGAAAAGATCCTGCAAATTCTCGAAGCAGGAGAAACTTACCAGGGCAAGAGAGGACATTTTGAAGAGCAACAATGATGGGAAATCGGCTCGAATATTTAGCTTGAAAGAAGTGAAGAAAGCCACCAATGGTTTCTCCAAAGACAAACTTTTGGGGAGTGGTGGTTTTGGAGAAGTGTACAAAGGAGAGCTCGAAGATAGGACTCTCATCGCCGTCAAGTCTGCGAAAGTTGGCAACATCAAGAGCACAGAACATGTACTAAATGAAGTTGGGATACTTTCCCAAGTCAATCACAAGAACCTGGTCAGACTCTTGGGCTATTGTGTGGAAGCTGAGCAGCCATTGATGATCTATGAGTACATCTCCAATGGCACTCTCAGTGACCATTTACACGGTAAGTTTTCGACATTTCTTGACTGGAAAACTAGGCTCAGAATTGCCGTGCAAACTGCTGAAGCATTGACTTATTTACACTCCGCGGCGCACACTCCCATCTACCATAGAGATGTCAAGTCAACCAACATACTTCTGGACAGCGATTTCAACGCCAAAGTTTCAGATTTCGGGCTGTCCAGGTTGGCTTGTCCGGGGTTGAGTCATGTCTCGACATGTGCTCAGGGAACATTAGGATACTTAGACCCCGAATATTATCGGAACTACCAGTTAACTGACAAGAGTGATGTTTATAGCTATGGAGTCGTCCTGCTTGAGCTTTTGACATCACAAAAGGCCATTGATTTCTCGCGGGATCAGGACGACGTGAACTTAGCCATTTATGCGAGAGTAAGAGCCAACAATGGTGCAGCTATGGAGGTTGTGGATCACCGGCTGCTCAGCGACGAGCCTTCGGGGAATACAGTAGCGAGTGTAAAGCTTTTCTTCGAGCTTGGACTTGCATGTCTGAGGGAAAAGAAGGGAGAGAGACCAGCCATGAAGGATGTTGTTCAAGAACTCCACTGCATAATTCAAGTTTTAGATGAACAAGTGGTTCATAATTAATGACATTATTAGTTATCATCATGAAATTTTATCAATGTCCTATGTAACTATAGTACTAGTGGAGTTTGAAAATGTTCTGTCATATCTTGTTATGTTGTCAGATTGTAATCTAAACTATTCGTGGTCATATGAATACATATATCTTAACGTGTTTTAGTGTCAAAATGTCATACAACTTTTCTTTACACAATCGATACTGAAGGAGAGAGAAATCGAACAAAGGTCTTCTCAAACACATGAACGGAAGCTCTTAACCAACTTAAATCGCTAGCCCCTTACAAGTATCATACAACTTAACATACATGTAACAAGATAGCATATACATTGTGTCAACAGAGGATAATATGTGTGGAGTATTTCTTTGAATATTCATGTAAAAGAAAGGAGTGGAGATGAAAGGCAAAGAATCATTGTTTTTGCAGCCCGGCCCACAGAAGCCAAAAGTAGTGATTCCATTCCAAAGAAGGAAGAAGGAAGGATGGGCTTTGAATGGAGGGAAGAGACAAGGGCCCTTGGGATCAGATGCTTTCTCTGGATTTTGATTGGTTGCCATGGACACAGAAAGCAAGCAAGCTTTTTCAAAACGACAAAAGCATTTTGCTTACAAAGTTCGAATGTAAACGTTATAATTATAATAGACGAATGGTTCATAAGATTATCATAATTTTTCATCTTAGTTTTTAGATTTAAAATAGATGGGAGTGGTGTGTGAGATTGTCCATCGTCAATCACTTTAGTCATTTTATGAAAAATCTAGAGAATTTTAACGAAAAATCCGCGTTACTGTTCACTTTAACGAAAAATCACATTTTTACACTAAAAAGTCAAACCTAGTACTATTCACTTTACTCTTTATTTTGTCCTTATCTTTAAAACTCAAAGTTTTCAAATTATTTTCATTAGTTTTCCTAAAAATCTATGTTAAATTGAAGAAACCACCAATTAAAGTAGAGGAGTTGATTTAACAAAACTACCCTGTATTTAGCAGAGATTTTTAACAAAATGACCAAAAGACAATCTCAATGACCACTTCTATTGATTTTAAATTGCAAAGATTAAATTGAGAAGTTATATCAATCTCAATGATCATTTTGATTAAAAAGCAATAGAATACTCATGTTTACTTTGTTTGAGATTGTAGTGAGTTTTAGCCCGATTTTAATTTGTGAGTAATTAAAGTTGTGGAGTTGTGGTTAAAGCAGATCATTATTAAAATGCAGGTTGTTAAGTGCTCTTGCATATTCTAAGTCCACCAAACTTAAGTGGAATATTCACTTGAAAAAAGATTAATTTGAGCTTGAAAAATAGGGACAGATTGTATGAGAGGCTAAATAAATTAAATGAAAATAACAGATAAGATTAAATAGTAGTGTGTGAAAGGCTAAAAAAATTATTTGTTTATTATTTTCCTTATTTGAACTTAAAATATCTTGCACCAAAGTAATTAAAGTAGAAACTAAGCATGCTTAAGACGGATTAATAGTGTTGGCAGATTAATAGTGTTGGCAAGGCAATATTAAAATGAAACGTTATACTCATGGATGCGATAATAATGTTACCCAAAAATAATGTGATTTCCAACGAGATTTAACTATTCAAAAGGGGTCAAGAGTGGGCATGTTTATAAAGATAAAAAGCCACTTTTTAATTGGGATTAGTCAAAAGCACAACCTCATTACATTCGCTTTTATTATAATGCTAAGTAGACTAAATTTACAAATTAAATAAAGGGAATTGTTATTGGTATTCCAAAAATCTCATTTTACACTCCAAACTTTCTATATGTGGAAAGAAAAATACACATGTGAGAAGTGTAGAATGAGATTTTTGGAGTGACAATAACACTTCCCTAAATAAAGTGTCATCAATAAAAAAGGGTAAATTACATTTTACCCCCTCAGGTTTGGAATCAATTTCAATTCCTTACAACATCTTTAAAACATTTCAATTTCATATATTTACTTATCATTTTATTTCAATTTCATACATCCATTAGAAAATTCGTTAAGTAAATCGTTAAGTGATGACGTTGCAAATATGGGATCCACATTTATGCTGATGTGTTAGGGTTTGAGGACTGATCTCCTAGAGAGAGAGAAGCAATCATAAATGGTGAGTGAGGAGAGGACTAAGAATGGGATTTTTGGGAAGGGAGTTGGCAGCCACGTGGCACAAATGTAGCAGCCACATTAACTCTTAACAGATCAATGGATGGAAAATGTAACGGATGTATTATATTGAAATAAAATAGTACTTGAGGTATGAAAATGAAATGTTTTGAAGATATTGTATGAGGTTGCAATAGACCTCAAACCTGAGGTGGCAAAGTGTAATTTACCCAAAAATAAGCATGTTAATCAACACTTAAGTAATAATCCAATTATCAACATCCATGTCATTTAGTTTATAAAATTTGGTCTACAAATTTAGTCTGCCTAGCATTATAATATGGTTGACTACATTTTATACCTTTTAAGTTTTTGGTGATTTTCAAAATGTACCATAAGGTTTCAACTTTCCAAT